GGGGCGGGCGTCTCCTTCCGGGGTGCCCGGAGCGCGGTCGGCGGCGGTTCTGCGGTGTGGGCCCAGGGGACCGGTGGGCGCCATGGTGAGTGTCCCGGTGTCCTTCCCGGCCGCGGGGGGCTCCGCGGGTGAGAGCGGCCCCGCCGTGCGTGGCGGCCGGGTGCCCCTCCGCCGCCCCGGAGGACGAGGAGCGAGGCGGGGGCCTGGCGTCCGTTGCCCCCTTCCAGGCGCTTCGGCGCGGGGCGGGCGGTGAGGCGCTGCCCGGCGCCCTCCGGTAACGCCGCGCCTGTTTTCTCTCTTTCAGGCTCGAAACGCGGAAAAGGCCATGTAAGTACGGCTGGGGGTGCCGGGGGGGGCTCCCCGGGGCGGGCGCTTGGGCATGAGCACCGCTTGCTTTGGCCGCGGGGCAGAGACCGCCCGGCCCGGCGGTTCCAGAGGCGACCCCGCGTTCCCTCGGCTCGGCCCCGAAGCAGCGTGGTCGGGCTCCTGCGTGGGGCTGGCCGAGGCCCTGGCTGTGCGCGCTTCCAGAGACGTCCGTGCCCCCTGCGCCGTGGCTCGCACCCACAGAGCCGCGCTTGGCCGGCGGGACTCGCCGTTCAGCCTTCTTTAAAGTCACCGGGAGCTTAATAACGGTTTTTGGTACTTGGCTGTACACCTTACGCTGGTCTAGAGACGGTGGGAGCAGGAGGGGTGTCAAGGCATCTGCGCACAGCGTGCCCGGTGGTGTGGAGCTTGCAGAGCTGTGGTGGGGGATGGTGGGCTGACCGCTGCAGGGGAGAGGCCACAGCAAGGGCTGGGTGATAAATGTGGTGAAATACATCCTAACGGCCCGTTACGGTTTTAGGCGGTTCCCGTTTTTGGAACAGGGTGGATAGGGATCTGTCTGTGCTCAGGAGTGGCTTGGGCTAAACTGATGGGTTTTACCGTATTTGTTTTTTGTATTGACTTTCTTGAGTACTTTTCAAAAAGGTTTGCAGACCACGTATTTAGAACTACTAGATTAGAGGCTCTTCAATATATTTGTCTCACGTTTGTTCTTTTTCCTAAAATACTTTCCGAGCTTGTAATAGTAACTCAGAGAGAGGCTGAAGAGACTACAGCTGTTTAATACCTCATGAGGTACTCTCTTACGGTGATCCCATCCAGCGCGTCTGGGATGCTGGATTGGATGGTGTGATTTTCATTCTGGAAGTGCCTCTTAAAAGTAAATGGAGCCTCGGTAATTGGCTTAGCTGCAGGGCATAGGTATGCTGTTAAAGGTTTTAAATGCGCTCAATTGTTTTGTGCTTTTTAACGTAACTATTAAATGTCTGGTAAGTAAATAAAACAGTGTATTAAAAAGCTGTAGTATGTGTAGTCTCTGTTCAGTTGTAAGAGACTCAGAATATTTTGGTAATGTTAATTAACTTGATTACTAACTGCTGCTTTCCTTACTGAAGCTTTTTTCTCTTGAGTTTGTTTGCTTTTTTGTGTTTCCCCTGCTAAGATATGTAAACTTAATGCTTGTGCTTATAACTTGTTGATCTCCTTTTGCCGCTAATATCTAACAAGCTGGCATGTGCTGAACAGAAAAAATAATTAGCTGCTTACCAGGATTTATATGTATTGCAGAAGTTTACCACTGAGGATTTCTAGTGTTGAAGAAGTAGCTAGCCAGAAGAGCTAGTCAACGGATAGGTTGAAACCTTTGTTTTCTACAGGCTGTAATTAAGTCCATAATAAATATCCAGAGCAAAACTCATTCCTGTTGGAATGTAGATTTGTAAAAGTAAATCTGCTTCCTTTCTTTTCTTTAGGACGGCCTTGGCGAGATTTCGGCAAGCTCAGCTTGAGGAAGGAAAAGTTAAGGTATGATGTAAAAAAACTAAAGCTTCATTAGCTCTAGTCAAGAGTGGAATGCAAGCCGTGTACAGAGCTGTGTGACAGCCATCAGAAAGGTCATATGCCAGGTACAGGTATCCTGTAGGAGTCCAACATAAGTCATCTGGGAAGCAGCTGAAGTAGGGACTGTATTTCACAGTGACACAAAACAGAAAGTGGAATTTTCTTAACTAAATAACCTGTTTAAAAACTTATGTATATCTTTGTTTCAGAGGTATGCTGCCTTGGCTGCTGAGAAGAAAGTGCAAATTGAACATCACTTAATTTTTTTACATAATGTAGGTAGAATATGTAATAGTTTGGAAAAAACACCAAACTACAATAATGCTATAAATAGAGGCAGCATGCTGGGCAGAAAATTGAAACTATTTTTGAGACTGAAGTTATCTCCTTCTGCAACTACTTACGTAAATTGATGCACATACACTTATTTTTACTGACAGTAATCATAAGATTTGTTTGGATTTCTTCCCAGAAAAGGTAGAGAAGTCCTTTTCGTAATCTTGTTCTTTGGTAATATTATGACAAAACAGTAACCATGAAACAGAGGGCCTTCGGGATCATTGTGAACTCAAGGTTTGCATGATACATAACATTGGCATGTTATTAACCCAACACATGATAGCTGTGCATCTGTTCATAATTGTCTTCACTGTCATGCAGCTTTTTTTTGATTGATTTAAGATTGACAAAAAAAGAGACTTAGCAACTTTGTAATTTAAAAATCCCCCACCACTATAATGAAAGAAATAGCACCCCTAAACCCACACAGAACCTTAGAGGCTGATTCTCAGCTATCTCTGGATATTCCTGTACACTTTTCACTGAATCATAACTTGCAAGAATATTTATGTGGGGATCAGAGTGTTCTCAATAACTTTTTTTTGGACGAGTTTACAATTTTTAATTTTGAGTAACTGACAAAGGAATTCTGGAAACTGAGGTGTCCTACATTTGCACCTTAAGAAATGATGTTTTACACACAAGTGCAAGCAATATGAAACAGTGGAAAATAACAGTTTGGGGAAAGTGTAGTGGAAAAGATTCCACGAGTAACGGCCAGAGAATAAGATGGAATAGAGTTTCTGGTATACTATGTGAAGGAAAGCTTTTTAATATATAGAAGGTAGAGCTGTAGAAGTATTGTAGGGAAAGGGACAAAATAACTGCACACAGAGTCCTAGAGGTAAGATGAAGTATTAGTTTGCATAAGCAAGTCAGCGGAACATGAAGAAGGTTGGGAAAAAGGTGTTTTGGATAAACTGTAGTTGGGAGAGTACAGAACAAAATCATCTTGGAAAAAAATTACATTATTTAAGTAGTAGCAATTGAGAAAGAAAGGCCTAAACTTAATAGCTGCTTGGAAGACAGTGGATTTTCTTTAGATGCTAGTATATTGAAAATAATGTTGTAATTCAACTGTCCAAAATGGAATGTTATTTGTATTGGAGAGGATTGTAGGGTGGTTTGAAAAAACAGGTGACAGATTTTGTTTTGAATAAAGTGTATTTAAGTAGATTCTTATATTCTGTGGTAGTTTTATTTGGCCAGGCTGTAAATCGTCATTGTTTTCCACTTATTAAAAACTGGTGGGAGCAGAAGACACTGGAGCTCGGTAGCATAGTTTGGGATTAATCAAGCAATAAAGTTTGCATGAAATGCTGTGAATATATTGATGCTAGGTTAAAAATTCATGGTGTGTGGCTTTCTGTCAAACAGGAACGAAGACCTTTCCTTGCATCAGAGTGTAATGAATTGCCTAAAGCTGAGAAATGGAGGCGACAGGTAATGTCAAGCTATAGATTTTTCTAATTATAGTAGGTAGAACTTTAGCACTTCCTATTTAGATGGCCTGCTTACAGATTTTTTTTCAGACTTCTTCAGTATGCTGACAGTTAAATCGCAGAATAATTTAGGTTGGAAGATCATTTAGTTCACCAGGGTGTTCAAAGCAGGTCCTACCATGTCAAGTTGCCTAGGGCCACGTCCAACTGAGTTTGAATATCTTCAGGGATTTGGATTCCACAGTTTTTTGGGGTACCTGTTCCAGTGTTTGATTACCTTCTCAATGATCTTTTTTTTTTCCCTTGAATTTAATCAGAATTTCCCCAGTTCCAACTTGTGTTTGCTGCTACTTGTCTGAGGCGCATGACAATAAAACAGTTTGGCTCTGTCTTCTCTATACCCTCGATTAGGTAGTTGAAGATAGCAATAGGTTATTCCTGCTTTGTCTTCTCTTAAGGCAGATCAAACCCCATTCTCTCTCAGCCTTTCTCTGTACTTCATGTGCTCCTGCCCTGATCCCATGTACAGCTGTAAAAATGTTTCCTTGTTTTTTAAGCTTCTGAAGGTACTATATTTGTGTCTGAATAAAATCTGTGTTGATATTTGAAATTGATAAGCTCAGGTCCATTTTCTAGATCAAAAGGCCAACTTAGAAGTTGGATCTTCCTATTTCTAGGATTTTATTATTTTTTTGAGAAATTCACTTCTGTGTTCTTATTTAATTAGATCATTGGGGAAATTTCCAAGAAAGTGGCGCAGATTCAAAATGGTAAGATTTTTCTAATTACGTTTTATTTTTTGAATCTTCAAGCCTAAGCAGTTACAGTAAAAATCACATTTCATGTGAATCATAGAATGGTTTGGGTTGGAAGCAACCTTAGAGATCATCTAGTTCCAACGTGAACTAAACTGTTTCCATTGCATAAATTCTGAAATTACTCTGGTGCTTCTAGTAAGCTGCCTAATTTATTGCCTTTGCCCCCCCCTCTAACAGCTGGATTAGGCGAATTCAGAATTCGGGACCTGAACGATGAAATAAACAAGCTTCTGAGGGAGAAAGGACACTGGGAATTCAGAATAAAGGAGCTAGGAGGTCCTGATTATGCTGTAAGTGTAAATTATTCTGTACTACATGGTTGTTCTGCTTACAGGTAAAGTAGTGAGAAAAATCTGTGCAATGTTTAGTTAACCACGTACTGCTTGGCCAATGTTTATTAGAGAGGAAATTTATTCAGCCCCTAAAAATGTTATGTTGTGTTAGAAGAAATACTTGTTCCCATGTTGAGCAAGTCAGATTCTTCATCTGGAACACCGGTTCAAGGGGTCTTGCCTTCCTGTTACAAGTTTGCAGCAATGGTTTGATTTTACCCATCAGTAGGTGTTGTTTTTCTCTACTGTACTCTGTCAGTCTGTAGAAGGGTTTTCACTTGGCTCACCTAGTTACTGCTGAAAATGAAATAATGATACTAGCTCTCACTTGCCAAAATGTCAAATGTGTGCTTATTGTCAGATTTAGTAGTGCTTGTTTATCTGATACCCAAATATACTAGTACAGAGAATAAGACAGGTTTAGATACTTTGTGAAGATTAATCTGGTATGGACACTCTATGGTTTGTGTGGTCATTTTATACGTGTGATTTGTAGTAAAAGTAGAGAACCTGTATAAAAATGAGCTATGAGGGCATTTGACTTGTGGGGTAGTTTGAACTGGTATAGCGTATCTCCTTTTTCAATCCTGTAATCTATGAAGATGCCCGGGAAAACAGAAAATACTAGATGCAAGAGGAATAAAATTTTAAACAATGAACTTTGTTTATTTTCCAGCGGATTGGACCAAAAATGTTAGATCATGAAGGGAAGGAAGTTCCAGGAAACAGAGGCTACAAGTATTTTGGAGCTGCAAAGGATTTACCAGGAGTTAGAGAACTTTTTGAAAAGGAACGTAAGTAAATAGCAACTCTTCCCAGACATGAATCTACATAGCAGTATATTTTGAGTAAAATGACTGCTGTAGTATGTGGGGAATGCTAGTAACAGCATATTCTGGCCTGCATCTTGGGATCAGCTAAACGAAATGCTAAACACAAGTAATTAATTAAATGCTGTTTCTTTGGGCAAAGAACACCTTTGGCTGTTTGCAGTTAAAGAAATGTAGAAAAGTGTAAACTGTTTTTGACTGGGAGTTCCAAATGGTAAGGACTGATATTCTACAGAAACTTTCCAGCATAACAGGTTAATTTTATTGATAAGTTCTAAATAGTACTCTGAGTTCTGAATTTAAAAAAAAAAGTTCGCTTGAACGTAATTTTAGAAGTAGGAATCAGCTTTCATAATAGGAAAAACTAGGCCTAAGTGGATAAAACTTTATTGCTTTGCCATAGAATGAGTGGGAATTACTTGGACCCAAAGTGAGGCAGGCCTACTGAATCAGCTCTTTCTTACTTGCCATCTGCAGAGAAAAATGATGGGAAGTACTACATCATCTGGGGGAGCTTGGAACAGCTTTTTAGTTCCTTTCATACAGTAGTCTTGCTCAGTACTGGGACTGCAGTACAGAGAAGGGAAAACAACGACATCCATGACAGGGTAGAATTGCCACGGGGTGGGAACTGTGCAATATGAAGCATCGGGTCATGTATTCAAACTGTTTTGTGCAGACCAGAGTAAAATACCAATACTCCCATTATTGACAGCAGTTCAGATCATGCATTGTTTATTAGCTGAAGTGAGTAGCTGTAGTTGCTGTGAGGTTGATAGGAACCGGGAATGCAGAGCAAGATATCAAGATGGACCAGGATGAATGACAGTCGTGTTCTTTCAGCCCTCCCACCACCTCGGAAAACTCGAGCTGAGCTTATGAAAGCCATTGATGCAGAATACTATGGCTACAGGGATGAAGATGATGGTATTCTGGAGCCACTGGAACAAGAACATGAAAGGAAAGGTATGTGAGATTCAAAACCTGCATAAATCAGTCTGAGAAGGGGTGATGGTGGACTCTGAAGTTAAGATATCTTTTTTTTTTCCCTGCAGGTGTTGTCTTGTGCTTAGCTGTCAGATTTCATCTGTCACATAGGTATCCAAATCACTATTGTGTAAGGCATTTCAAGAGTGAGGGGGTGTGCTTTAGAGTTTGCTTTCATCCTTGCTACTGTTAATGTTTTAATACTGTCAGCAAGTGATTCATTATTGAAGCAAAATCTCCTTTTCTCCCCACCTTTCTAAGAACGTAGAAGAGTAGGTTGCAGCAGGGAGAGCTATGGAACTCAAGTGGTTTTCTCCCTCCTTTGTGAAAACTGACCATACCATCTGTTTCCTGTCTCACCTAATTATTTATCCATAAACAGAGCTGCTTAGTTTTCTTGGAGATTAGAGGGGAACTTCTGGAAATCCTGAAGTCTAGGTGGCCTGTGATAATTTCTTCATGTCATCTATCTCGGAACTTCAACACATTTGTGAATATTTTTTCCTTTAAAACCCATACTTTCTCAGTAGATAGTATTTATCCATGTTTCTGCTTCCTTAGTTCTCTAGCTTTGTTTCTGCTGATTTGCCCAGTAAAGACATCAGGATTATGAGTCTCATTCCTGAAACACTCTTTAAAATTCAGCACTGTGTGCCGTATCCTGGTATTTGTGTAGCTTTAAGCAGGAGGCCACACACCACCTTTGAGAGCTTAGCTGTTTTCTAAATAGTTCTCTTAGTGCTTCTGGTGAGTGTTGTCTGATCCTGGCAATTTGCTGCCGTTTGCATTGTAGTTTGCTTTATGATCTCTGCTTCTGAAGCTTCAACTGCAGGCAGATCCTCAGTGCTCATCAGGAAATGTCCTGGTATAGGAACCCTTGGCAGGCTCTTCCACAGAACACAGCAGATAAAACCATCAGGTTCTTCCCTTGAACGGTGCTTCTTTTTGTATCAGATTATCTCTCTGGAATTAGAAGAACTTTAAACGAAACTGCAGGAAGTGACTTCTTTAAATCATTACAAGTTGTTGAGCTTGTAACTGTTACCAATACGTAGTATCTCTTGGTCTGGTCATCCACTTCTTACATTTATCCCTTCTCCGTGTGTGAGATCTTCATAGTATTGTGCGTTGGAGATCATGCCTTGTTGGTTAGGTTATAGGACAGGGGGGAAGAAGGGAATAAAGGAAATATTTCAGTTATCTGTGCCCTGCAGCGTTAGGGCGAAGTGAACACTAGCTGGCTGGCAGACAATTGATAGTGTAAGAAGGGAAGCTGTGCGGTGCAGCGCTCCCAGAAAGGCCTTCCACTCGGTGTTCATCTTGCACATCTTGCTAAATGCAGGCAGGAGAGGTAGCTCATCCGGATTCATGTGATTATTTAAGACAATTACCATGGTTGGTAATTATGCCACTTGAAATAACAAGGCTAGAGATGCTAACAGCACCAATAGGTATACTGTTAATATCCAATTAATATACTATTAATGCACAACAGCTAAGATTCTCTTAGGGTCATTTGTTGTTTGGTGGGCTCTTGTGGTTTTTACCTTGTTATCAGAAGGTTTAAATTTTTGTCAAACAAAGTATTGAAAAGACTACTTAATTTGGGGTACCTTTTCTGTCACAAAACCACACAAACACACACCCATGTGCCACTAGTTAGTTAGATCTTGCTTTCTCAGGGAGAGCATTTTAATGTTTAATCTTTGAGAGCTAGGGGGAATGACTGCTGACTTCTGTTGTTGTAGGCATTTCGTACTGTCTAGTTGCATTAGTCTTACACCTCCCTAGGATTTTTATACACTGGTAATGTCACTGATTAAGGTTCTTAAAACTTGTTTTAGTGCTCTTACTAGCACTCCGCTGTATAGTAGAGAGAGAGCAACCAGCAGCTCCTAGCTAGCAGCAAGTTACAGAATTGGAATCATGCTACATAGTAAGAGAAATACACTATGAGTTGAAAAGAGAGAGACTGAGGCGGGTGGTCACTGTAAGGAGTGTAATCATGTTTAATTAACTACATGGTGATCAACATTGCTCTAGCTGTTGACATGCTATGGAGCTGTAAGAACCACTTAGCCTGGTTATGTTGACTCCCTGTTACTGAGTTCAGAAAGTAGGTTGATACTTGCCTGTGACATTGAGAGTCTAAAATGTGCCCAAATGAAGGCATTAGCAAGTACCACACTTTCACAATGCTAGTATTGGGTTTTGCTCAGACTACATTGATATATTTTATTAGATACTACATCAAGGTTCTACAGTAAGTGTGCGTTACCGATGTAGAGGATTTAAGCAAGAAGTTTAAGTCTGTTGGAGAAGCTTTGGAAATGGAACCATGCTGCTTTAACTTGCTCTCTGATACACTTGCTGTTTTCCTTTGTTAACCAGTTATAGCAGAAGCAGTGGAAAAATGGAAAATGGAGAGAGAAGCACGACTTGCAAGAGGTGAGGAGGAAGAGGAGGAGGAAGTAAATATCTATGCTGTCAACGATGATGAGGTATGTGATGGCTTAAGGTGATGTAACATTTCATGTGTCTTTTACACTGCTGCCTTGGACGTTGAGTTATTTTGCCAAGAACCTGTCTGCTGCTGCATTCTGCCCTTCTCTCTGCCGAACTTACTAGACAATTGTCCCTGTTTAGTAAAAATCCGTAGTAGATGAGTCAACTTGGTCTGAGCTTAGAGCGATGAAAGCTGGCAACTAGGGAAGACTTCTTACTTGAGTGAGAAACAACTAACCTCTGAGTCCCTGTTGCAAATAACCATCACTGCCTAAAATGCTGGTATTTGTAAGGTAGTGTGTTGTTAACACTGATCAGTCTTGCTTCTAAGTACAATCTACATCAGTAACAGCACAAGTAGTTTTGTGTACAGTATAATTTCACACTGTCAATGCATAGCAAAACCAAGGGTTGCCAGGGTCTTGTTTATAGTCAAATCCTAATACAGCAAGGCTTTGCTGATGCTGCAGTCACTGTTGTGACGTGGCTCTTATTTCTTTATTCTTCCCTGCTCCCAATGCCAGTAAGGGAAGTGAGGGACATTGCTGCCGCTCTCCAAGATCTGTAAAAGGGGTAGTGGAAACTAGTTCTTGTTTCACAGTCTGTACCTAAGTGGATTTGTCACAAGAATAAAAAGGAGATAGCCCATAACGTAAAACTGGTGGTTCCTTCAGTACCGTTTTATTTGTATTATCTCATGATTCATAAGCCCAGCTCTCAGGTGTGAGAACAAAGCAGTACAGAGCTGTACAGGGAAGTGGTACGTATATTTTTAGAGCACTTGCTTTCTTCTTGGTTAGCTGGCTCCTCTTTTGTTTATAGCTTTGCTGTGGCAGCTAGAGAGATATGGAAGAGGAGGGAATACAGCTTTACATTCATGCCCATGCCACAGCAGAGGAAAAGCTGTATGAAGAATGAAAGCAATAATTCTGAAAATGTCAAGGAGCCGGATCTGAACGTGATAGTTATCGTACTCCTGTGTTGTTTGGTCCTATTCACTTCTTGTGTTTGTAGCGTTGATCGTGGTCTATCTGGTTCCTTCTGGCAAAGCAAGTAAAAAAGGGTTTTTTGATGACCTCTTTAGAAAGTAAACTTGATGTGGCTTAATTTTTATTTTTTTTTTTTAGTCGGATGAGGATGGTGCCAAGGAAAAAGACGGTGAAGAAGGGCAACAGAAATTTATTGCACATGTTCCAGTGCCATCTCAACAGGAGGTAAGACGTCACAAAATTAAGTCACAGAGATGCACTCTAGCTTTTGCAAGACAGAGATCTTAACTTATGGCAGGTCATCAGTAAAAGTGTCTTCAGTTTGTTATTTCTGTGACTTGATGCTGGAGCTGTTTAATCCTCTTGCAAATGCTGTGGAAGTGGCCAGAATCGTGGTACCATCACTATACCCCTTTTCACCTGAGAATTTCCAAAGCCTTCATAAGTATTACATAAATTGGAAAGTATTGTGGTGTTATGGTCAAGATAACCCTGATTGCCTACTATGTCTTTACTGTGCTTTTCTGCTGGCGGTCTAACTTTTTTTTATTATTTAATGGGATGATTTCTGAATTGCAGGATTTGCTCTCATAAGTTTTCTAAAATTATTTTGGTGGCGTGACCTTGAATTGTCTATTATATTTTGAAACTGCTGTAGGGTTTATATTACCTTAACAGTGACAGGTTGTTTGAAATATAACTCAGGCAAGAAGGTTCTGGAGTTACGTATCTTTTGGTATGTATGCCTTTACATCACACAGATAGCATGTGGTGGTTTGTGCCCTGCTCCCATCTTGTCAGATAAGAATGCTGTGTTCTTCTGTGAAGTCATGATGCTGCACATCCAACAAAATATACATGTAATGGCCTGTGAAAACTGCAGGAGAGAAATAATGATTAAAAACATTGCTCTCTGGCCAATGGTATTCTCTTAATGGAGAGAGCATAACAGAGAGTCAAAACTGGCTTTCTAATACCTAACCACTGATGTACATAGCAACCTTTTCTAATTAGAGAGTAGTCAGTGTAATCTTTTCTCTTTTTGTAGTGGCAAATCACTCCATACCTTATGCCTACAGGATTATGCCTTCTAGATTCTAAACTACAGAAAGCTAACGTTCAGAACACTTATTTTGAGAGATGCTGTGTGCAGTTTAGACAAATATAAAATCATTACTGAGATTAAAACAGGTCTTGCAGATTGCTGTTAGTAGATCTTTAAAGTACATGCTTGTTAAAGAATCATGTATTGCTGGTGCTTCTAGGCAAAATTTAGGTAAGAGGTTCATAGCCATTGCTAATGTGAAAGGCACACTCACTGGACTGTTATTTCAGGGGTGTGGACTAGTGTGGCATAACTCTACGTGTTCTGCATTGGTTCAAGCCATATCCAAGACAATTGTTTGAAACAAAATTCAAGTGACTGTACTGAGAGTAAAATAAAATGGCAGCTAATGTCCTCATTAAAAAGGGTAGGAGCATAGATCTGAAATGGAGGCATCTATTTTACTGCTTCTTTTGAGTATTAAAGTTGAGTATTAAAAAAGATACTCCTGACTCATGTTAATTCAACTACTTCTACACTAGTATACACTTCTAACTTTCACAGTCTGTTTCCTGTGTTTTTCTTCCTCCTGTCTTAACAGCTAAGCATGCTAGGTTTCAGTATCTCAATTAAGCTGAATGTCATCCTATTTTTATATTTGCAGATTGAGGAAGCTCTTGTACGGAGAAAGAAGATGGAGCTTCTTCAGAAGTATGCCAGTGAAACCCTCATGGCACAGAGTGAAGAAGCAAAAACACTTCTAGGATTGTAACATTGCACCAGTACCTCCTGGGGTTTGTATAATTGATCTAAAAGCAACAGGTTCATGTATTCTGGTAGCAATCACTTTTAGCTCTGAAAGTCCCTTTGGATGTTAAGAGTAAACTGATGAAGTTACAGCGTGTTCTGCAGGCAGACCATCATTTTGGTTTATTCACTAGGATGACTTGCACTCCAGTGCTGAAAAAGATCAAACCTGGGTTAACTTGTCTCTACATCCTCAGCAGCTGTCCTCAATCCTTTCACTTTGTGAAACGGTTTGTGCAGTGATGCCTCTTACAGACAGAACTGCAAACCCAGTAACTTCTTAAATCCTGACGGAAAACTGACTGATGTTACTACCGTTCTGTCTGCTGTATCCTGACTGTAAGTGTACGTGTCTTTCTCATGTTGATTTTTGCTGAGCTGAGTCCAGAAGTAACTCACTCTATTATGCCTGGTTCGTTTACCAGAATGGCCTAGAACCTGTTTTAGAGGTACCTCGATGGCAGATCTTACAAGTGAGTTCGAAGTTGATTTGGTTCTTCATATAACACATGCAATATGTCTAAAAGCTGTTACCCTTTTTGTGGGTTGTAACTGTGCCTGGACAAATTGCTTAAATGCTGGATATTTCAGCAACTATTGTAAATACTTCCAACATTGCAATACCTTGTTCAAATATTTTTAGTAAAACTTATTTACAACCTGATGTCTTGTTTCATTCTAGCTCAAAGGATTGTGTTGTTTCCCTAATCGTAGCCAAAGAATGGGATCATCAACAGCCATCCATGTAGGGATTTGAAGCTCTGCATCCCCTGCTGCTCTTAGCTTGTGTATCCTGTGACAAGAGGCAGATCACAGCAGAGCCTGTTCAGAGTCTTATGGGTGACTTAACATTGTTACACAGGTCTGAATGAGTGAAACTTTAAATTGGACATCTGCAGCCATGGAGTGGGAGTGCTATCGAAGGAATATAGTATTTAACAACCAAGTAATCATGTCTTGGGACTATCTAGAGTTTAGAGATGCTCTTAGTATTCAGCACTATCTATTGTAAATAATCCGCTCCAGAACAATCGAAGCTCTAAATTACAGAGGCAAGCTTTTTCTTACTTGATGTAAATGATCAAACAAAAAAAGTCTTGAAGTGGAAAGCATAGCTGCCAAATTTAAAATCTTAAACAAAAAAAGAAAATAAATCAAAACTCAAGTATTGATAGCAAGCAGACAACTACCACTACAAACATGTTCTTCTCTCTTCCTGTTAGCAGCGTAGCTTCTCTGCTTTGTAATAAAGCAGCAAACAAGTATGTTTATGGCTTGTAATAATTTGTGTGCTCTGAGTTACAAGCATCTCTCCAAAGTCAGTTTTAGTTTTTGCTGCTGCTCCTTGAGCGTTTTCTCTTCTTGGGGTTAGAGAAGGTGATGTGCTTTTATCCATGTGCTATCTGTATTGCTGTGAGAGACAACACTGTTTCCCAGAGTTCCTTCCCTGAAACCCCTGGTCGCCAAGAATGGAAAAATAGGCTGCTTTCATGTTGGATGTGCTAACAGGTTTATGGTCTAGCAGTACTGGATCAGCCTAGTGTGCTTTGCCTATGGAAAACATTAGTATGTGAAGGATAAAGGCTTTGTTGCCTGGGACTAAGCCAATAACTGAGTCCTTGGGGCTGAATAAATTGGCAGGCAGTCTGGCTCATCTTTATTGGAGTGTTGGTCACTAAACCATAGGATGACTGGGGCAGGGGAGACACAACACCAGCAAATAAACTGGAGCAGCCAAATGGGCTCGCCAAAAAGGTGTTTGGAGTTAAAGCTCCATCGTGAACAGCCCCTTGCCAGCCGTGCTTCTGCTAGACTGTACTTTTTTTTTTTTTTCAGTACAACAACAGTTTTTCTTCTAGAACAGTGCTTGGAAGAAGAATGCCAGTCTTGCTGTAGACTTGCTAAACTACATGCTGGAGGTAGCTGAACTAGATTGGGGCGGGGGGGATCAATTAGTTTTTAGGGCCTGATACAGTCTGAGAGTTTGATAATACCAATGGTTGATCTGTTCTGTCACTATATGAATTCCTAACACAGAAGACAGAAAACAGAAGAGTAAAGACAGATCAGGGACAGTGATAATGACAGAAGACTTAAAAAAAGACTAAGCAGAAAGAAGGAGAAAAAATCAAGACAGGATATTAATTGCATTCATGTCCAAAGGAGTAGCTACCAGCCCTGGTAGCTGGTTTTCAAGGCAGTGCTGATCTCTGCTGACCAACACAGAAATGGAATATATGTACAAAAATGCAGTATGGAGCTGTGCAATGCAAACTGTGGCTGCTGCTTGAACCTGCTGTACCAAATAATCACTCTGTAGCTCTGAGTGCTAAGCATTTTTGAGCTGAATGCTCTTTTTGGCTGTATTTACAAATTGCAGAGTAATTATTTGCCAGCAGTGGCCTACATTCTGCTTGCTGCACAGGCTGGTAAATTGCTGGTGGAGTTTGGCTATGGAAGCTTCCCAGCCCTAAGCCAGGAAACCAATCTTGTTGTTTGTCCTAGAGAACGAAATGGTGTATAGGGTCTGCTTTAACTCTTACTTTGAGTGTGCAGCTGTGCTTGGACATGTGTGTTGTCAGGCTTATAGCTTATACCATCTGTATAATGTCTGAGCCTTGCATGTGTCAAGGTTATAAAATAGGTGTCATGCTTACATGTAGCTTGTTCTCTTGTCTGCTTCAGAGTTCTGTGCTGCGCGTGATCCTGGCTTGAGCTTTGGTGGGATAACCTCCGTAATTGTTCTGTTCTCTGCATCAATTTTGGCTTGCTTTTGTTTTGGAAACACATCCGATTCTGTTTCATTTAATGCTACCCGCATAAGTGGTGCAGACTGAAAGACACTCTTACTCTTTGTCTGGGTGAGTGCAGTGCAATCACTGGAAGATCGGTTTCGCCCTGGAGTCTGAGAGAGGGTGGTGAGGAACATTTGTTGGCAGTGCTAGGAGATAAGTAGATTTACTTGATCTGTATTAGCCGATGAGCAAGATCAGCAGCGGTAGCTTTGCAGAGTCTCCATTAACTAATGTTATTTTGTGCTTGTTTTCTTGCTTTCAAGTCTAGTTGCTGGGAAATGCCTTTGCAATACAGATCTAAGATTCCGCAGTGTTTGCGTACAGATGTGATATGCTTTTTTCCCCAAAAGCGTCGACTCCTGAAGAACCAGAAGGAATGTCCGATTTGTTATTAAAGAAAAACTTGGTTCTTTCCCAGGTAGAAATGTTGCCGCTGAAGCGGTACCGCCTCCTGCAGAGTTTGAGGCGGGTCAGACAGCAGAGCCCTCAGCCTTGCTGCTAGCCCCGGCCCTGTCCCACTCGCCAAACTCTTGCCGGCTGCGAGGGGACAAGATGGCGGCGCGAAGCCAGGAAGAGCTTCGATGGGCGGCGCTGGCTGGGCGAGGGCGGGGCCGTCTCCTCACGGGGCCTGAGCCGGCGGGGCATGGCGTTGGGAGGTGGGCGGG